CGTACATTTTAGTCACTGCTGTGGAGAGTCGAGACAAACACAGGAAGCATTCCCCAGTTCACTCTGACTGATCAGACTGTAACAGCAGGAAAGTGGAGCAGTGATCTGATCAGCAGAGCCTATAAAGGTAAACAGCTTCTCAAAATGTGTACGAGGAAACGTTATGCTGACAGTGTTACTGCGATTCATCTGCCTTTCTGACTGTATGAGGTCATGAGTCCTATCAAATACTACGCATTAAAAATGTTAGTGGATGGGTTTGAGCGAGCTCTGCAAGTTACGGAAATAAGATGTATTCAAATTGAATAATTTTCTAATTTCATTGTTTATGTATTGTTTCTATAGTATCGATGTTTGTCAGGGATACCAAACTTACGTAAAAAGCTTTGGTTCTTGGTAGCAGTGATAAAATACACAAACCTGTTTAAAAGGCTGACAGTGCCATCTAGAAACAACGTAAATACTGTGAAAAAATCTTAAAATCTTAAAAGTCATCAGTGGCTAATGAACCACCAAGCTCATCACTTATGTGGGTTAAGCGCTGTATTATTCTGTGTTATGGTTAAAATGACTGTAGGCTGTTTTTGAAGTGAACTGAGTCAGAGCACACCTGTGTCCAGGTTAGTTAAAAAATGGAAGGTATTAAACTGTGTGTGTTTGGATGTTTGGTGCAGGGGTGGTCTTTACACTAGGCAAAAGGAGGCAGCCACGTTGGGCCCCAATGAGACAGGGGCCCCAAATACAAATTACAAATTGCTGACTGTATGTGTTGATGTTGAATAACCTATTCCAATGTGCATATATATATATATATATATATATTACAAATTTCAATGCAGCCCCACCCCCCCAATCATGGTTATAATAGTCTGTTCCATCATGTTACGTGATGACACATTTAGACAGGCTGGTATAGACACAGCAGCTGAAGGAAAAAATCACATGAAGTCATCCACGTACAGCAGAGAAACGCAAAAACAGGGAGGAAAGCAAAACGTTTGTCGCTACACTTGCAAAGCCAATGTTTCTGCAGTTAAAACGGAGCGCTGAACCTGCTGAGCAGACGGTACACGCTGATAGCATTAACGTTAGTGCTGATCGCTCCAGTGTCGGCGTAATTACTCAAAAAAGTAATCCAAATCATGCACTACTTCTGTGTTACTCTGTACCAAGTTATCTCACTATATTGGCAGATAATTTAGCAATATTTCTTAAAATAAGCAAAATTAACCCTTACAACAGTCTCAAAATGAGAAATATTATCCATTAGATTTAAGATGATTTCACTTGCAAAATAGTAGTACTGGGAGCCCAGAGCTCCAGAACTAACCTAAAAATGTTCCTCCAGGGGGGCCCTGTCTTTTGCCTAGAACCCCCGAATCACTAAATCCGCCCCTGGTTTGGTTTTATGCAATACTGGATGTTAAAATGTTTGTTTGTTATTTTTAGGCTATTTTGTGTTTGATATGGTTATACTCAGCTTCTGAGCACGACTTTTATTTTGAAGGGCGGGGCTAGTTTCAGGAAGGATGAGTGTTGCTGTAGCAAGCTTCAGAGAGAGAGCTAAGGTGAATGCTGGCCGTAAGAGCCGTGAGCTAAGAAGTGCGCGTTGCTCGGCCTCCTGAATTCTGTCAGCCGATCCAAGATCCCAGCAAAGCTGCGTTATGGACTTGAACTTCCCTCGTCTATGTTTTTTCTGAAAACCCCCCACAATACAATGCTTTTTAGGCAGACTTTCATGCATTTTGGCTGGTTCTGAACATTTTTTTGGCTAGAAAACTATGGAAGCAATCTGGCAACCCTGATCTCCTGCAGTGGCGCTCATATATATGAAGGATTTTACAGCAGGTGCATCAACAAGCGTGTACGGGTGATGAACCTGCTGTAAAACTGATAAAACTGATGACACTGCACTGACACCGGCGTCTTTCACTGGGAATTGTTCTTATAGGGAACCTGTTCTAAAGGATCCCACATTTGTTTGATAGTTTGACATGCATGTGGTTTTATGTGCCAATATGAGTCATAATTCAATGACGTGACCATTTTCTGACCTCTTTTATCCCACAAACAGGCTGTTTTGGTTACCGTGCCTTTAAGACTGACATACGTAAATGAGTTCTGCTCTGACTCAGTCAAAAAAGCAGTCTGACACACTCCTTATAAGCCGTGTATATGCAGGGTTAAACTGCCATAGGCTAAACAAGCTGCATGCATGTAAATGTGTGGGTTTTTTGTGACATCACATAAGCAATTAATTCACAATGGCCTGTTCATGCAGATTAGTTTCCATATACTGACTGTATGGGCTGTGGACGGTGATTTGCATACTACATCCAACTGTTTTATTTAAAGAAATTGAAGATTTAAATGATACGGGCCCTTTAAACCAGCTGGAGTCAGTGCTGGTGGCTATTAACATGCTGACTGCTGTTCGGTTCTATTTATTTGGCTGAAATGAGCCTTAACTGAGACTTAGCGGGCCTCAGGACGACCTTTGACATCTCATCTAGCATAATCAGGCCCTTAATCGCTCCTTTACTCCAATCACTCCCCATTCAATACACCGATAGTGTCTAAAACAGCACATCTAGCAGCACTGCTGGCACGGCGTAACCGCTCAGCCTTACTCAGTCCTGATGACTCACGGACAGAACAGGCTTTAATACAACTTCAGTTTCTAGAGGGTAGCTAGCCAGACAAGCTAACCAGCCCCACTTACACAACATACAAAGAACAGATGAGGAAAGACAGGAGCATTTATATAATAACGGGAACAATGTGAGGAGAATAAAGACCGATTTTAGACATGATTAAGCCTGGAAAGCAAGTCAGACACACAAAAGGGCTCAATTCTCAGTGTGGAGAAGCACTGATGATGTTCTGGGGGATAAAATGCAATATTAGAAAGCGAAGTCACCCTAAAGAGGAGGATTTATCATAATGAGAACATTGTAACACGCCTATTTAAAGACATTTGTACCTGTTTTAGGCTATTTTTGCATGGTTGCTAATGAAAAAAGATCAGGATAAAACAAGCACGAGCACAAATGTCCAGAAACAGGGAGAGTAATCTTGTAACATTCATACAGATTAGGTGTATCGACTACGTTTGAGGTGATTTCGCTTGCTTAGTCCTTTTTTTGCAGTGTACGTGCACAGGCGTGATATAAACACGTTTATAAGCTGCTAGCGTCGATGCCCTTTAGCTTAGCATAATGCACGCTGTGACTCGAGTCTCGGCGTCTTTGCCTCAAGCCGAACCGTCGGCATCTCCGCCCAGAGCACAATCGATAAAGTGGAGCAGAATTCATGCTGCAGTGCACACACACCCACATGGGCCTGAGCACCACACTGCTCTCCTCCTCTGCTACCGCTGCATCGCGGAGATGGAAAAATGGCTACGTTAGCGGAGCTCTCTCTCCCTCTCTCTCTCTCTCTCTCACTCTCCCTCTCTCTCTCTTTCTTTCCTCTCTCCCCCTCTCTCTGCATATGCTCATGCAACCCCGCAGGTTTTTCCTCGCAGGAGGACGACGCAGCTCCAGCCGTACGTCACCGTGATGCTGATGATTACATAAAAGCCGATTATTCCCCAATCACACAGCACCTGCTCCTGGTACACCGACCATGGGCTGCTTTAGGAAGCAAATCGCAGCTGCGACTGGTGCTAGCTTTAAAAAAACAGGGGGTGGGTGGGGGGGGGGTCGCAGCAACACTGCATGCGCACAGATAACGCATTTATGTGCAGATACGGCTAGCCGGCTTTCAAGGATGTGCCAAGAGGTCCGGCACATTTGTGCTCCCTGCAAAAGGCGCACGGCTAGCTAGCGCTCAGTGTTAGTTTTAGAGGCGGTGCATTTCGCACGTGTGCAGATAATGCAACATGTGCAATCTGTGCTGGCTGGCTTGTTTTATTTTTTTGGTTGCATGCACAAACAGTGCAACCTGCCTCAAAGACACACAAACAGAGGTAAAAGAGGTCGTGCAATGTGTGCGAGCGAAGGGCTCTGTGCTGAGGGAAGAGCTGAATGGTGCATTCGGGGCGCTAGCCTGCGCCATGCATCTCTGCTGGGGGGTTTTATGAGGGAGGCCCCTGCTTTGTATGCGCTTTATTGCACATAAAGCGTGCATGCTTTAATTTTCACACCATCCGCCATGCCGACGCAGACAGGTCTACGGCAGTGCTGCGGTGGCTAACAGCTGCGCGCTAGCACGCAGAGCAGTGAATGCATGAGGTGCACTGGGTTCAGGCGTTTCTCTCCGATGCTGCGGGCTGAGCGGCGCATTGAAAGCTAGTTGCAGGGGGGTAAAATCTAATATATAAATAAATAAATACATAAATAAACAGATCTAAAGCAGCAGCTGTGCTGCAAGCAAAAGCAATGCGAAGTGAAAAAGGAAAGCGGCGCAGGGTCTCTTTTTTTTTTGCATGCTCAGAGATGCAGCAGATGAATTACATTCTGCCACATGAAGCCGCTACTCTAATCCGCTAACCCCCCGCCCCGTCTCATCCATCCATACATCCATCCCTCCATCATCGTGGGTCCCTTTAAATCAACCCAGAGAGGGGGAAAAATCAATCCCGGGAGGTGCTGCGCCCTCAAGGAGCAGATGCAGCCATATACACTGCACTGGGGGGGGCTATTAAAAACTCACACAGCCCCCCCATCACGACACCCGGCCATAAAACCATAAATCGAACCCCCCCTAACTGCACCGCCATTAACCACATACACTTATATTCAGATTACTATATATATATATATATATATATATATATGTATGCAGGAGCAAATATATATACAATGATAATTACAATAGAGCCCAAAGGGAAGAAGAGGAGGGAGGGAGAGAGGGATGTAGGGATCTAGCTGCAGTGAGGAAGGGCAGGATGAGGAAGGATGAGGATACTGAGGAAGAACAGGGGGATGCTGCTGATGATGATGCTGATGATGAGGATGAGGAGGAGGAGGAGGAGGAAGAAAAGGAGGAAGGCTTACGCTCCGCAGCTCCTGTGTGCGATCCTTCATCGTTCCGCCGCCGTTCTGCCTCCACCGAAGCTTCTTCTCTTCTTCTGCTCTCCGAGCTCGTCCCCCCCCGACCTCAAACCTCCTGCTGCTCCCTGCGATCTGCTCCTCTCTCTCTTTCTCCCCCTGTCTCTCTCTCTTTTTCTATCTCACGCCCTCCTTTATTGTCCTTCTCTCCTCCTTTTCCCTCTTTCTCTCTCTCGCAGTGTGTGATGTGCGCGTCCTTCCTCCCTTCTCTCTGTCTCTCTTTCCTTCCTTCCTTCTTCCTCCTCCTCTTCACGCAGCAGCAGCAGCAGCAGCCGAATGCGAAAGCGATGCTGCAAAAGAGAGAGAGCGAGAGAGAGAGAGGGGGGGGGTTGATAGGAGGGAGCGTTGCAGAGGGATGGAGAGACAATGCGCATGCGCGGTTAACCCCCCCCCCACTCACCTCTTCTGCCCCTCCTCCTCCTCCTCTCCCTTCATCCTCTCCCGCCTTTCCGCAGCGGTCGCCGTGGCAACGCGTTGAGGTTTTATTTATTTATTTGTTTTTTATTTATTCATTTATTTATTTATTATCAAGAAGCCCGCCCTTGCTCTGCTACGATTGGCTCCATACGCCACGAAGCCATCCTGCCACGCCCCCTGCTGCGCACAAGCCACGCCCCACTCGCCAGAGCGCCGCCTCTGCTGCGCGGCGATTGGCTGATTCGGAGCATCAGGCGGTGTCTGATGTGGGAACTGCCTAGCCAATCGCAGCGCAAGAAGGGGGCGGGGCTTGGTGGAATGCGGGTGGGAAAAAAAAAACAGCGGCGGTGCACTGAATGATCGCTCCTCCTCCTTTTACAGCCTTTTATAGGCTTTTTATAACCGTTTATAACCTTTTACAGCAGCTTGGGGACATTTCTGTCTCACCCCGTGGCCTAAATGGGTTGACTGTGGCTTTAAAGGGGAATTCCACCGATTTTTTTCGAAATTCGGCCATAATTCAGCGTTTGAGATGTAAGCAGTCATTGAGGGTGTTCTCACACCTGCCTCCTTTGGTCTGAACCAAAATAGCAGGTGTGGAAGGTGCCTCGGACCACGGTCCAGACCAAAGGACCAAAATTTGGTCTGGCCAAAAGAGGTGGTCCATCGGAACCACGGTTTGGTTCATCTGCAGTGTGAAAACACTTTTTTAGATGGTTCAGATTTTTGGAACGATTACAGGAAGCTGAGGCAGGATATCGTCACCCGTTAAACCACAGAAGAATAAAAAGAACCGGGAGAGAAGTAAGAGTGAGCCGCGGTAGCTCACGAAGTCAACTTGATAAAAAAACAAACAGCCAAAACCTCTACCGTATTTCTCTGAGAGGCTCAGATCAGTTTACAGTGGTGGTGATAGGAACCAGGGGTCGCCATGACTACAACACAAATATAGACATTTTATTTACTATCCAGAACCAGCAGGGAACCTACACGAGTCTTCTGAGTTTATATGGAATGTTGATGATGGAAAATAGTGGAAAATCTGAAATAATAAGTTTTCTTTGGGGACTATTTTGCCTCACAGCGCCCTGCATGTATCCCTCCACCATGAATGGAGTTTAAGTTCTCAAAACGATCATAAAACAGTGTCTCAGTCATCAGGCAGTGAATTCACAACCATTTCATGTAGGAACTTTCTGTGAGGGAGCTTTTAGAGGTGGACGTCTGGTTCCTATCACCACCACTGTGAACAGTTCTGACTCGGTAAGTTTCTCTAGAACAGAGCGTTTCACACCAAACCACTCTGAACCACTCTGTTTACATCTTAACCATTTAATTATGCAGAAAATGTGAAAAATCTGTGGAGTTCACATTTAAATGATGCACAAAATAAACAGGCATAAAATAGCGGTCTATGTTGGTTTATTTGGCTTGTTCACAGAAGCTGAAATACATTTTTCATGTATTTATCATAGAGTTTTGTTGCTTTTTTATATTTGCAAATATTTTTAACAAGCAAACAAATATATTTAATGAACTAATGCGAGACCATAGAACACACACTGAATTGGTGAATCGGCAAACAGGGCAATGGGTAAATTGGGGAACAGTTGAATGGGTGAAATGGGGAACAGGGGAACAGGTAAACAAAGGAACAGGAGAATGGGTGAATAGATGAACAGGTGAAGAGATGAAAAGTTGAATAGGTGAATAGAGGAACAGGTGAATAGATGAACAGGTGAACAGGTGAATAGGTGAACAGGTGAATAGATGAACAGGTGAATAGGTGAATAGGGGAACAGATGAATAGATGAACAGGTAAATAGGTGAACAGGGGAACAGGTGAATAGATGAAAAGTTGAATAGGTGAATAGAGGAACAGGTGAATAGATGAACAGGTGAATAGATGAACAGGTGAATAGGTGAATGGGGAACAGGTGAATAGATGAACAGGTGAATAGGTGAACAGGGGAACAGGTGAATAGATGAAAAGTTGAACAGGTGAACACGTGAATAGATAAAAAGTTGAATAGGTGAATAGATGAACAGGTGAATAGATGAAAAGTTGAATAGGTGAATAGGGGAACAGGTGAATAGGTGAACAGGGGAACAGGTGAATAGGTGAACAGGGGAACAGGTGAATAGATGAAAAGTTGAATAGCTGAATAGAGGAACAGGTGAATAGATGAAAAGTTGAATAGGTGAATAGAGGAACAGGTGAATAGATGAACAGGTGAATAGATGAAAAGTTGAATAGGTGAATAGAGGAACAGGTGAATAGATAAACAGGTGAATAGGTGAATGGGGGAACAGGTGAAAAGGTAAATAGGTGAATAGATGAACAGGTGAACAGGTGAATAGGTGAACGGGGAACAGGTGAATAGGTGAACAGGTGAATAGGTGAATGGGGGAACAGGTGAATGGGTGAATAGATGAACAGGGGAACAGATGAATAGATGAACAGGTGAACAGGTGAATAGGTGAACAGGTGAATGGGTGAATAGATGAACAGGGGAACAGGTGAATAGATGAACAGGTGAACAGGTGAATAGGTGAACAGGTGAATGGGTGAATAGATGAACAGGGGAACAGGTGAATGGGTGAATAGATGAACAGGGGAACAGGTGAATAGATGAACAGGTGAACAGGTGAATAGGTGAACAGGGGAACAGGTGAATAGATGAACAGGGGAACAGGTGAATAGATGAACAGGTGAACAGGTGAGTAGGTGAATAGATGAACAGGTGAATAGGTGAATAGATGAACAGGTGAACAGGTGAATAGATGAACAGGTGAATAGGTGAACAGGGGAACAGGTGAATAGATGAACAGGGGAACAGATGAATAGATGAACAGGTGAACAGGTGAGTAGGTGAATAGATGAACAGGGGAATAGGTGAACAGGGGAACAGGTGAATAGATGAACAGGGGAACAGATGAATAGATGAACAGGTGAACAGGTGAGTAGGTGAATAGATGAACAGGTGAATAGGTGAATAGATGAACAGGTGAACAGGTGAATAGATGAACAGGTGAATAGGTGAACAGGGGAACAGGTGAATAGATGAACAGGTGAACAGGTGAGTAGTTGAATAGATGAACAGGTGAATAGGTGAATAGATGAACAGGTGAACAGGTGAATAGGTGAACAGGGGAACAGGTGAACAGGTGAACAGGAGAATTGGTGAATAGATGAACATGTGAACAGGAAGAATGGGTGAATAGATGAACAGGTGAACAGGTGAACAGATGAACAGGTGAACAGGTGAACAGGTGAATAGGTGAACAGGGGAACAGGTGAATAGATGAACAGGGGAACAGGGGAATGGGTGAATAGATGAACAGGTGAATAGATGAACAGGTGAATAGATGAACAGGTGAACAGGAGAATGGGTGAATAGATGAACAGGTGAATAGATGAACAGGTGAATAGATGAACAGGTGAACAGGGGAAACTGTTAGGTCTAACAGTGGAGGGACAGGCTAAGCATTAGCACAGAGCTGCTATATGATCAGTGGGCTTTGACAGAGATTAAAATAACTTCATTTTAAACAAAGTAACAGCGAAAATCAGACATCATTCAGCATCTTCAAACTTTCGATGTGCAGCGTGTATTTCCGCCTGAAGCTCAGAGGAAGCTGCTGTTCCGCGCCGGGTCGTAATGTCCCTGAAGCAAGGTGGGTCGGTGACCCTCTAAGAGGTTCACGTAGGTCAGGCGGTCCTCAGATGTGGGCGACGGGGCGTATTTTTCACACAGCGGGCCGCTCAGGTGCGGGCCGCAGACCGCTGTGACTGAGACGTAGAGTGTGCCGTGCTTCAGACGGAAACTCTTCTTCATGTTGTTGCTTTGTTGGGGCACCAGAGCAGCTTTACCCAGAAGATCATCATCCCACCTGTTATCACGATCCCACACCTCAAACCGTACCTGCCTAGAAGATATTAGAAGATATGGAAGAAGAAATTACCAAACAATCATGTTCTGATTTCCAGTGGGTGGGGCCAATTTTGTTTTTGAAAAAACGTCACTCTAGACCTTCTGGATGTTCTAGATAGGTCACTAACGGAATACGAGTGGCAGCCTAGTCAGTGGGTTGTTAGAAATGATAAACAGAGGCGGCAGCTCTACACCAGAGCTCTCTACTGAGAGAGTCACTGTGAAACTGGTAAAATACGCTAATATTTCTGTCAAAAATAAAAAATGCCTTCAAATGTCTGTGTTTAATCTAGAACTGCCTTTTTCAAATTTCCCATTTCACCTTAAACACTGCAGCAGTTACATTCAGGTGCCTAATGCAGAGCGTCACTGCTGCACTGTTTAAGGTAGAACAGAAAACTGGAATCAGAAACTAACTTTAGCCTCGTCAGAAAGTGTTCGAGCGAATTTCATAGCGCTAATAAGCTACTAGAGTCCTACAGGGACGCTAGCAGAAGTTAGCACTGTCGTTGAGGTGGGTTTTTTCCTCATGAAGGCCTAGCTCTGATAGTCACGGTTCCCCTAGCTCTGATAGTCACGGTTCTCCACTGTATATCAAACCCCGTGTGCCACTGAAATGGTAGAATGACTGAGTATTTACTCACGTTCTCTTTGTCAGATCCACAGTTCCTAAATTTTTGACGTGGTTCCAGACGGGGAAGTTGTTGTTCCAGATAACTCCAGTGGTGTCGGCCTGACTTCCATAGAAGATCTTCACATATCCATCAGTTTTGGAGAAGTAATCTCCCCAGAGTCCCGCCGCTCGCTCCACTTTGACTGTGAGGGTGGCTATGCCCGGCTGGCTGGGGCAGCAGTTGGAGTCGACCCTCTGGTGGCCGTTGCACTTGCAGGCGCAGTTGATCCTGCGGCCGGTCTTGCACTTGGACGAGCAGGACAGAGAGACTGCGCTTTTCATGATGTACTCTGTGATGGCCTTCTGCAGGCTGGTTCTTCTGAGTGTGTCGTTTCGAACCAGCATGTGGAGAGAATTCAGCCTATAGGAAACCACTCCGGGGACCGTCTTCAGCGTCTTGAGCCAGGCGGTGTAGCCATTCTGCTTGTCTGGTGCGAACAGAATGTCACCATGACTTCCATCTCCTCCCAGAACCTCGGTGACCCGATCTGAGAAGGATCCAGAGAAGCTGTTGCTGTTCTGCAGCTTCTTGCCTTTGTTCTTGCAGTAGCTTGTTTGCGCGCCCACCTTAACACCCTTGATGGTGGCCGAAGCCTCCACTGACAGACAGTTGCTGACGTCCTGCACCGACAGGCTGGTCATAGACACTTGGCAGGTGCGGATGGCAGTGGTGGAGTGCACACGGCCGCCCAGGTCCACCTGCCGCAGGAAGTGTGTGCCGTAGGTGGAGATGAAGCTCTCGTATCTGGCTTTAGATTGGCTGTTGTATTGAGCAGGAAGAGCCTTGATGGAGCCGAGGAATTCTTTGGTCAGAGGTGGCCGGGAATGAAGGCGGAACCTGGGAAGAAACAGACATATATAAATGTAATCGATCAGCAAAGACATGCTTGGTGTCCAAAGTTTGCACTGGAGCTACAAGGCTAACGTAGCTAATGTAGCTAAAGTAATGTAAGCTAATTAGCAGCATAATTCGTATGGCGGTAACGCTACATCAGTGTACACTCGCCTCAAACTGTGTGGAGGTGTTCATTCTCACGAGATCATACGAGACTCACATCCGGAGTTATGAGCCTATGAAGAGGGGCTGAGATACACGTCATCTGCCTCTCAGCCTGTGGAACTGGTGGACTGGTGTGTCCGTCTACATTCTGTGTGAAACTGACCGATGGACACTCAGGAAATCACTAAGGACTGACCATCACGCCGGAAACCCTTCATTCTTCATTCAGTCCACATCGGAGACTCATGTGAAACGGCGTGCAGAGAGTTTACAGCTGCTGAAGCTGCTGCAGCAGGTTTGGAAAGTAGTGATGAAGAAAACGGAGCATTTAGATATGAAATATATGAGGATCATGTTATATGAAGAGCCTTTAAAGGGGAGTTTAAGAAGAGAGAGAATGACCTCAGAGCCCAGGGTTTAAATGGTTTTATGTTTGCTGTGGTTGTAGTAAAACTGAAGGGCTCTGTAAAACTGCGTGTTTTTCACAGCCGTGTCAGAAATAACAGCCTCCAAACCGCACCTGCTGAGCACACACTCTGAAGTGAGAATCTGTCAAACCATCTGAACTCAGCTCTGAAAGCACTTCTCTTTTCTTCCCACCATGGAGGTTTTAGCTTACCAGTCGAGAAACTTAAAGCTAATCATGCTAACATTAGATTACAAAGCATCTCGATACCTCATCAGAATGGTAATATCTCTGAATGGAACACGTTTTTAAAATGTTCAAAAATAGTTAAAACAGCCTGCGGATCAAAAATGTCTCGTTTTGTTCAACTGTTATTGTTCTACATCATTTGAGCTCAGCAGCTTTACGCTGTGTGAACATTTCATGGTGAATAGACGAATAGAAATGCTCTCAATTTATATGGAATAAAATCTCTTTACATTAACTTACATTAAGGTTTCACTCTGTCCTGTAAAGTTACTAATGTGGAGATACATGGTTTTCTTTGGACAGTGACAATATATAAGTATATATATATATATATATATATATGTACACACACACATATGGAATCATTTTAGGTTGTTTTTTTTGGTCCATTCATCTTGAAATTTACACGCAATGTAAAGGCCAACAGGTATTTTTAAAATATGGAAAAAAATTAAAACAATTTTTGTAATATATGTGTTTGTAATAATAATATCACACACACACACACACTGTAATATATATATATATATATATATATATATATATATATATATATATTTATGTATATGTATTGTCACTGTCCAAAGAAAACCAGGTATCTATATATATATATATATATATATATATGTGTGTATATATATATATATATATATACATATATATATATATATATATATATATATATATAGATACCTTTTATTATTGTGTATATTATTATACACAATAATAATGTACCATAATGTCGTTTTTAAGTTTTTGGCATATGCCTGTTGATCTTTACAATGTTTAAAAATGTTATGATTAATGGAGAAACGACCCAAAATGACGTGTAAAAAAGTCTGGTTCCATTGACTTACATTAAAAGTAAAGTATGTTTTTTCCTTCTCCTGTAAAGTTACACGTTTGGAGATACGGAGATCCGACAACAGCGATGTGTGTGTGTGTGTGTGTGTGTGTGTGTGTGTGTGTGTGTGTGTAAGCATCTATGTATAATAAGTCACATGTAAGTACCTATATGTAATAACACAATGTACATATCGTCAGTGTTGAAAAACACGTATCTCCAAAATAGTAACTTTACAGCAGAGGGCAAAAACGCTCTTTACCTTTAATGTAAGTCAATGGAAAGAGATTTTTTTCTAAGCAATTTTGGTGCATTTTTTGGTCCATTCATCATGAAATGTTCACACAATGTGAAGAATGGCTGCTGAGCTCAAACGATGTAGAAAAGTGAAAATCACAAAAAAATAGAGGTACGTGTTTTTCTTTGGACAGCGCTGATATATAATATGTCCCAGATATCATATAAGTAAGTTTCATGTTTCACTGGTGTTTCTTCAGTCTGGATGCCTGTTTGAACACAGTGCTCTGTCTCTGACCCCCCCATCCCCATCCCCCCTGTTTTTCTTTAAACAGAGATGATATGCGCCACCAGTGTTGAAGAGTTTAGTGTATTAAATGATTCTAATGTGCTCCTAATATTCTGCAGGTCTGAGATCGTTTGTAGGAAGCTGTAAAAAGTAACGTCTGATGATGAAAGGAGCTGAGAGAGCCGGATAACATCGAGAATTCACTTAAATTTAAATAAAACAGTCCGAATGCCTCGTATTCGAAAAGCAGTGACCAGATCTCACTGATCAAATCACTATTCACAGTAATTTTATATCAAGAAATGACTACAAATAGATATGTTTATTATTCAGTAACATTCACTAATTTTGTTACCATGCACTGTAAAAACATTAGTAAAATTAATTAACCGGTTAATTAGAAATATCGCCTTTTACTGTAATCCAACATTCTTAACAAAGCAAAGACAATAGTTCTATATAGAACCATGAACACTCAAAGAACCGTTTGAAACGGTGAAATGGTTCTTCAGAATGTGCTGTATATGGTTCTACATAGTAGCTTTTACAAAATGGTTCTGTGTAGCACCAAAAAGGGTTACAAGCTCATCGTCACAATAGCAGAACCCTTTTCAGTGCTGTACAGAACCATATACAACACATCCTCCATCAATCTGAAGAACCATTTCACCATGCAGAGAACCATTTAATCATTCACTTTTAAGCAACACTTCTTTGAGTGTTCATGGTTCTATATAGAACCATTATCTTTACTAAATAACCCTTGCAGAACCATCTTTTTAAGAGTGTACAGTTTCAGTAGTTCATCTAGTTCTAAAATACAGCATTTTACCATAAAAATAACAGAAACAACCATTAAAATAAACACGAATGTCTGTTAAATAAATCATCTGTTTCTGTGAATTTACGTTCTATTTCTATAAATTAATAACAGCAGGGTGAAATACAGTATATGTTTGGTTTAATTGCACACATTTAGCCTGTTTTTAAAAAATAAGTATTGATCAGTAAATTCTACAGTATTCTGACAGTGAAAATGTTTATGAATAACTTTATTATTATTATTTATATAATATGTTTCTCAAGTACTTTAATTTGTAAGTAGACCATTGGTTTACACTTTAATGTGTAGTTTATAACATTTTAATCTACATTGTATCACTTTTTTATTAAATAATAAAAATGTAATTATTAATTTGAGTAATTATTATTAATATAATAAAAGTGATCCCAAACTTTTCAGCAGTGGTGTATCTACATCTAATTCTAAACTCATTCTCTCTCGATCTGTTCATCTCTTCTTAAACTCCCCTCTAAAGGCTCTTCATATAACATGATCCTCATATGTTTCATATCTAAATGCTCCGTTATCTTCATCACTACTTTCCAAACTCGCTGCAGCAGCTTCAGCAGCTGTAAACTTTCTGCACGCCGTTTCACGGCAGACAGGGTGGAAAAAATCAGATATTTTTCACTTCACCATTTTCTACACACCGACGTTCACTGTGAAAAGCTCAGATCAGCTCATCTGTTTTGTTCGTCATGTTTTCCCGTGATGCGTTTTTTTGGTACTTGTTAGTTTATCAGTAACTTGTTAAGATGAAAAATGATAAAAGAAAATAAGTAAACACAAAAAAAGGAAATACTAATAAATAGTTACCCATAGTAATAATAATAATAATAATAATAATAATAATAATAATATTAATAACAACAATGCAAAGTTGCTACCTATCGCCACTTTATTTTAAAGTTATTATAACTTTATTACTCACAAATTAATAATTGTGGACCATTTTAGTCGTATTTCGGAGCCCTACATGAAGTTATTGTGACAACTTTGCTCAATAAGGGTCACTGCCTTCATCTCGGACCCTCAGTCGTGCTCTGACCGCTCTCGCTCGTACTCACGAGTAATATTTGCAGGAGAACTCATGGCTGGTGTAGGAGAACTTGTCCTGGGATGAGTGGCTCTGGGCGAATCTGGAGGATCGAGAGTGCGTGCCTCCCACAGCCACGCCGGCGACGAAGGGGATGCTGAGGCCCACCTTCCAGCTGACGGAGGTGGAGCTGGAGGTCTCCTTCAGCACTGAGCTGCTGGACTCGTACACCTTGGCGCTGATGCTGCGGCGGCAGTAGACCTTCACCCTCCAGTCCAGCACGGACGCGGGCAGCTTCTGCTCCACGTTCAGCAGCCGGTTGGAGCAGATGGTGCAGTTTCCGTGATCCCCACCCATCATGTAGTCTCTAACGTTCACCACGAAGGCTCCGCTGGTCTTCATCCGCACAATATCAAACCCCTCGGAGACACAGTTCGCTCACAGTCAGTAAATAACGGTCAGATAACAGCACATAAAGCTAACTATCTTAACCCATCCACTAAGTTTAGTGTGTTGAGGAGAAATGCTCGTTCTGATTGGTCTAAAGTGATGAGAGTTTATATAATCATAGCTTGGAGGAACATCTGACAGCACCCAGGTGATTTTCCTTGATTACATATAGGTTACATACTTTTATACAACAGTTAGTTCGCGAGCTGATTGGTTGAGAAGCGTTCTAACTGTGCTGTTATTTCACCATAACATCACGGGTTTCTCATAAACACTCTATCACTCCACTGAGACGCCGTTGCTAAGCAACGACTTTGACAGCTGTAGGAGACGCTCAAGACATTTGAACGTTTTCACTTCTTACTTTGCCACAAACAGAAAATGGACAATTTTAAGATCACATTTGACCGACAGCCGATTTGGTCAGACTCGCCGACCAAATCACACCCGTGATGATATTTTGTGATAACACACTCCCTCTCGTGTTCTACTGCTTAATTATTCACTACCAAATTTGAATTTTCTTCTGTATTGTTATTAATCAGCAGTCATGTGGCCAAACAACCCACAGTCAGAGAGAAAATGGACAGACACTGGCTAAGGAGTCCGGCAAGGCTGCCCACTGTCACCACACCTGTTTAATCCAGTAGCAGAACCTGTAAAGAGGAAAGCAGGACTGGAGGAAGATCATCGAGGTTTCAGGATTGGTGAATAGCCCTCAATATGTGGATGATACAACAGTCATGGCAGAAAAGGAGGATCTGAAGTCCCTTATAAGTTAAAGGACAGTGAATAAATGGGCCTCATTCACCAACCAGCAGAAATTCCTTCTTAAATCCACTTACGCAGTTCTGACGAAGACTCTGACTCACCAGTGTTCTCTTATGTGGGATTTGTTCTTAGGTAAGAACAGAATCTACATACTGAAGAGCACAAAGGTGAGAACAGTTCTGCGCTTTAAGAACACGACATGAATCTGACGGAGACTTTTTCTCAGAACTTTTATCAAGAACACACTTAGGAACACACTTAGAAAGATACTGGAGAATGAGGACCAATATAAAGAAGACTAAGGATATGAAAACAAGAAAGACCACTAACGTTACCACTGATGGAGACGCTGTGGAAACAGTGGGCGGCTTTTACCTACTCAGATCAATTATTAGGAGAATCCAACACTCAAGAAATACAACACAGATCGGCTTGACAGAACTAGGATGAAGGAGTTTGAGAAGATCTTCAAATGCAACAGTTTGTTTCTACAGACTAAGATCAGAATCGTCCAGGCTGTGGTCTTCTCTGTGCTTCTTCATGGACGTGAAAGCTGGACAGTAAAAAAACAAGAGAGGAAAGAATATAGATGCCTTTGCACTTTGGTACTGGACTTTTGAGAGAACGTTGGATGGCAAACGGAAGCTCTTATTCTTAGAAGAACCAGTTCTCTGGAAAAGACCGCTTTGTTTGGAACAGTTGAAGGTAAAAAAGGAAGAAAATGACCAGCAACAATCAAAGGAATCTGGGGCCGTATTACAGAAACCTCCTATCTTTTTGAATCTGACAAGTCAAGATAAGATCTTTCACAAATTCGTATAACAGAAGCAAAACTGATCTTAATTTAGGAATCTTATCTTACAGCATCTTTTCTCCTGTTAGGAAATCTTAACTTACTTGACTGAAGTCGACAATCAATTGTTGTGCCTGTTACCTAGGAACCGACCATACGGACACAGCTGAAACATAAACACGTCATCAAGTTAGTCAGTCAGACAGCTAACGTTAGCTACCGTTACTGAGGCAAAAAAGGTCAAATAAAACTAAAGAGCGATAAACCGAGTGAAGAATATTGTGTCAGCGCCCCTTGCTGTTTATCAGAGCGTCGCCGCTCCCCAGTTTCAGTCTCCATTTCCCAAACGCTTTAGCCGAGCGCGCTAACGTTACTCCTCCTAATAAACAGACACACGTTCAGCTCCGTCTCCTCATTATTCACCACCATCACTGTAATATTTCATCATCAACATTAACACACGAAGGTGATCAGAGGGGCGGTGGAGATCGAGTCTGCAGCGTCTGAGATCTTTAAAACGCAGAGTTAGAAAAGAAAATCATCTCACAGTGAAAGCAGCGTTTTACAGTAGAGATAAATGGAGCTCATTATGCTGGTAGTGAACTATGCTGCTGACTCAGCATGAAACAATAGGATATTTGGGCAACTTAGGTGTTTCTGTAAAACCGTTTTCTTATCTGGAAATAAGAGAAGATTAAAGACTTAAGAACTGTTATTCTGTAATGGCTTCTGTCCTAAACTCAGTCCTAACTGAAGTTGCCATGACAACAAAGCAGATAAGATATGATCTCAGACTTAAGAATTTTCTGTAAGACGGCCCCTGAAGCAGAAGACGGGACGTTCTGGAGAAGCACTTTTCATATGGTCACCTAAAATCCACTTGACGGCACTTAATCATAATGATGTGACCATAAGACTGAACTCACTTCTGAGCCGTTTGGTTTGATGGATTTGATCAGTTATTCCACGTTCGTTCTGGACTGCCATGGGCACACATTTTTAATGTCACTGTTATTTTCTCTTTTTATTACTTATTATTGGTATCATAGATGATATTGATGGTACACCCTTTAAAAAGATGGTTCTTCCAGGGTTCTTTAGTAAAGACAGTGGTTCTATATAGAATCATGAACACTCAAACAACCATTTGTACACTTAAAAGGTTCTTTGCATGGTGAAATGTTTTTTCAGCTTAATGGAGAGTGTATTGCATATGGTTCTGTCACACCAAAAAGGGTTCTTCCATTGTGTAGCAGAACCCTTCTTGGCCTTATATAGAACCCTTTTCAAAAAGGTTCCATATAGAACCTTTAGAACAGCACATTCTCCATAGTCACTTTACCATGCAAAGAACCATTTAAGTATACAAAGTTCTTTGAGTGTTCATGGTTCTATTTAGAACAACTGTCTTTACTAAAGAACCTTCGAAGAACCATCTTTTGTAAGAGTGTATCTTTGGTTGGTTAACCTCAAATTAGAAATGAGCGAAGAATTCAAATTTGACTCTTGAAGACATTTTCATGATACATAATATGCAGTGTTTCGTTTTTCTAAACAGAGAGTTGAAAAGTTGGAGCAGATAAAATAGAACCATTAAACTGCCGTCAGGACACAACAACGGTTACATGAGTACTGATTATTATCAATACAATGAAAAATCCACATTTGATTGTGAACAAAATTATGAAGCGTAATCAGTGAAACTGAATGGGACACTGTTGGATGTTCCTCCAAACTATAACTATATATGATTTCAGCACTTCAGACCAATCAGACCACGTTCTGTGGCTTTTCTCCTCATCATGATAGACTTACTTGTTGGATATGGGTGGAGTAACTCAGGTTAAAACCTGACATCTGACTTCCATAATATAAACTTGATAAGAAACGACATGTTAATAACATGTTAAACAGCTTGTTGTGATGCAAACTTAATATATATATACATATATATATATATACCTCTCCCACCAGGTTGTGTCCTGGGACGAACTGAGGTTTCTCACACTCGGTGCTGGGGGCGGTCCGGCAGCCGCCGGCCAGCGGGACGGTCAGGAGGATCAGCAGGAGGGAGAACATCTGACCTGAGGAACCATCCAATATTTACTAGCTATTAATTACTATTATTATTAAAGTTACAGTTTTTAAGACACAGTTTATTTCCGCACAGTCACACGTAAAAATATATTAAAATACATCTGTATATATACATGTACACACACACACATGGTCTCAGTTACTGCTGTCAGGATAAACCCTTGTATTTCCATTTTTGTCGTTTCTATATTTTATCACATAACATAAAATCTCCAGCTGTTCTTTACATTACCAGTAGAATTGGAAAGTAAATGTAATTCTCCTATTAAGCTATGGAATATATATATATATATATATATATATATATATATATAATCTTATGTAATATGTAAATAATAATATAAATATATATATATTATATTAAAATATATAATATACATCATATATCATGTATCATAATATCATTTATAATATTACTGACTTTAACACATTGGAAAAATGTATTTATTATTTCCAATATGGTACATATTATATACTTAGAGTTTACATGCAGTAAATTTTGCAGAAAATGCCATATTTAATTTTATTCCCTGTAGAGAATATGCTAATGTATTTTCAAAATCAACTAAATTTTTGACTAGAGCTGCAAACAGTTTTTGAGTTTGAAGTTTTAAAGTGGTTTGTAGAGTCTATAAGATGTAGATAGGTGTATCCCTATATAGAACTAATTAGCAGACGTTGATGAAGGAAGGAACAGCACAGTCTTGTGTCAGTCTAAAGTATCTCGTTTAAAATGTGTGAAAGTGTAGATAATGTACTCACCGCCTCTGTGTGTGTTTAATGGTCTGAGCTCAGACGGGAGACGGCGGGATTCTCCTTATATTCTCTGAACACGCAAAACAAACCCCTGACACAGCAACACGTCCGTGTGTTCTGACACATACAGACGTGTGGCGAAGCAAAAACCAGCCTGAAGTGTCTGAGTGAGGCGCTCAGACACCTCCAGCTGTGAGAACAGCTTCAGTGCTGCTTGTGAAAGTCTCCGGAACTGGTGTTTGCTATGGCGTCGCTAGGGTGTTGCTAGGTGGTTGCTGTGGTATCCCAGGTGGTTGCTATGGTATTGCTATGTTTTTGCTAAGGTTTTGCTAGGATGTTGCTGTATTATTCCAGGTGGTTGCTATAGTGTTGCTAGGAGGTTGCTATGGTGTTGCTAGGTGTTTGCTTTGGCGTCGCTAGGATGTTGCTAGGCGGTTGCTGTATTATTCCAGGTGGTTGCTATAGTGTTGCTAGGAGGTTGCTATGGTGTTGCTAGGTGTTTGCTTTGGCGTCGCTAGGATGTTGCTAGGCGGTTGCTGTATTATTCCAGGTGGTTGCTATAGTGTTGCTAGGAGGTTGGTAAGATGTTGCTCAGTGCTTTCTACAGTGTTGCTGTGTGGTTGCTGTAGTATTCCAGGTGGTTGCTATAGTGTTGCTAGGAGGTTGCTATGGTGTTGCTAAGTTTTTACTAGGGTATTGCTAGGTGTTTGCTTTGGTGTTGCTAGGTGTTTACTAGAGAGTTGCTAGGGTGTTACTTGGTGGTTGCTGTATTATTCCAGGTGGTTGCTATGGTGTTACTAGGTGTTTGCTACGGTGTTGCTGGGTGGTTGCTATAGTATTCTTGGTGGTTGCTATAGTGTTGCTAGGAGATTGCTATGGTGTTGCGAGGTGTTTGCTATGGCATCGCTAGTGTGTTGCTAGGTGGTGGCTGTATTATTCCAGGTGGTTGCTATGGTGTTGCTAGGTTTTTGCTAGGGTGTTGCTAGGTGTTTGCTATGCTGTCGCTAGGGTGTTGCTAGGTGTAGGCTGTAGTATCCTAGGTGGTTGCTATGGTGTTGCTAGGTCTTTGGTCAGGGTTTTGCTAGGGTGTTGCTAGGTGGTTGCTGTATTATTCCAGGTGGTTGCTATGGTGTTGCTAGGAGGTTGGTAAGGTGTTGCTAGGTGCTTGCTACAGTGTTGCTATGTGGTTGCTGTAGTATTCCAGGTAGTTGCTATAGTGTTGCTAGGAGGTTGCTTTGGTGTTGCTAGGTGTTTGCTACAGTGTTACTGGGTGGTTGCTGTAGAATTCCAGGCGGTTGCTATAGTGTTGCTAGGAGGTTGCTTTGGTGTTGCTAGGTGTTTGCTACAGTGTTACTGGGTGGTTGCTGTAGAATTCCAGGCGGTTGCTATAGTGTTGCTAGGAGGTTGCTATGGTGTTTGCTAGGGAGTTGCTAGGGTATCCTAGCTTGTTGCTAGGGTTTCCTAGGATGGTTCTGAGGCAGTTTCCATTGTATCCCAAGTAGTTGCTAGGGGGTTGCTAGGTGGTTGCTGGTAAGAGTATAGGACCAGCTTATTTACAAAGATTCATTTTATTTTCACACAAGTATTTTTAATTTCCAATATGGTATGTATTATATATTTTTAAGGAACATTTTAGAGTTTACATGCAGTAAATTTTGTGGAAAATGCCATATTTAATTTTATTCACTGTAGAGAATGTGCTAATGTATTTTCAAAATCAGCAAAATTTTTGACTAGAGCTGCTCAAACCTCAAACGTTTGCATATGAAAACCTCTGTTTAGTTCACGGTTAAATGAATTAATTTCAAAGCTGTACTTCAAACTGTTTCGAGTTATGAAGTTTTAAAGAGGTTTGTAGAGTCTATAATATGTAGATACATACACTATATTGCCAAAAGTATTCACTCACCCATCCAAATCATTGAATTCAGGTGTTCCAATCACTTCCATGGTCACAGGTGTATAAAGCCAAGCCCCCAGGCCTGCAGACTGCTTCTACAGACATTAGTGAAAGAATGTGTCGCTCTCAGGAGCTCAGTGAACTCCAGCGTGGTACTGTGATCGGATGCCACCTGTGCAACAAGTCCAGTCGTGAAATTTCCTCGCTACTAAATATTCCACAGTCAACTGTCAGTGGGATTATAACAAAGTGGAAGCGTTTGGGAACGACAGCAACTCAGCCACGAAGTGGTCGGCCACGTAAAATGACAGAGCGGGGTCAGCGGATGCTGAGGCGCATAGTGCGCAGAGGTCGCCAACTTTCTGCAGAGTCAATCGCTACAGACCTCCAAACTTCATGTGGCCTTCAGATCAGCTCAAGAACAGCATAGAGAGCTTCATCGAATGGGTTTCCATGGCCGAGCAGCTGCATCCAATCCTTACATCACCAAGCACAATGCAAAGCGTCGAATGCAGTGGTGTAAAGCGCCGCCACTGGACTCTAGAGCAGTGGAGACGTGTTCTCTGGAGTGACCAATCACGCTTCTCCGTTTGGCCGATGGACGAGTCTGGGTTTGGCGGTTGCCAGGAGACGGTACTTGTCTGACTGCATTGTGCCGAGTGTAGTGTTTGGTGGAGGGGGGATTATGGTGTGGGGTTGTTTTTCAGGAGCTGGGCTCGGCCCCTTAGTTCCAGTGAAAGGAACTCTTAATGCTTTAGCACCAAGAGATTTTGGACAATTTCATGCTCCCAACTTTATGGGTACAGTTTGGGGACGGCCCCTTCCTTGGTGTGGAAGAACTTGACTGGCCTGCAAAGAGTCCTGACCTCAACCTGATAGAACACCTTTGGGATGAATTAGAGCGGAGACTGTGAGCCAGGCCTTCTCGTCCAGCATCAGTGTCTGACCTCACAAATGCGCTTCTGGAAGAAGGTCAAAAAATCCCATAAACACTCCTAAACCGTGTGGAAAGCCTTCCCAGAAGAGTTGAAGCTGTTATAGCTGCAAAGGGTGGGACATCATATTAAACCCTATGGATTAAGAATTGGGCGTCACTCAAGATCACGTGTGTGAAGGCAGACGACCGAATACTTTTGGCAGTATAGTGTATATCTGTATATAGAACTAATTAGCAGACGTTGATGAAGGAAGGAACAGCACAGTCTTGTGTCAGTCTAAAGTATCTCGTTTAAAATGTGTGAAAGTGTAGATAATGTACTCACCGCCTCTGTGTGTGTTTAATGGTCTGAGCTCAGACGGGAGACGGCGGGATTCTCCTTATATTCTCTGAACACGCAAAACAAACCCCTGACACAGCAACACGTCCGTGTGTTCTGACACATACAGACGTGTGACGAAGCAAAAACCAGCCTGAAGTGTCTGAGTGAGGCGCTCAGACACCTCCAGCTGTGAGAACAGCTTCAGTGCTGCTTGTGAAAGTCTCTGGAACTGTTCTGGAGGGATGGAACAGTGTTCTCCCAGATGATGTTCCCGCAGCTGGTGTTGTTTTGATGGTGGTGGAGAAAGTGGGCTAACACGTCGCTCCAGAACCTCCTAGGTGTTCGACTGGGTTGAGTTCTGGTGGCTGTAAAGGCCGCTGTGTATGATGTACAGTACTGTGCAAAAGTCAGAGACCACCCTTCGTCTGTTTACGTAACAGTCAAGTACAGGTTCTTCACTTTTAGGAGAAATTTGTGAGGAGATTAGATATGAAACTAGAAAAGTGCTTCTCCTGAAGAAATGCAGAGTGATTGCGCAACTTACACAATTTGAGGACAGTTGCTAGGATACTTTACATGGTTGCTAAGGTGTTGCTAAGGGGTTGCTGTAGTATTCCAGGTGTTTGCTGTAGTGGTGCTAGGAGGTTGCTATGGTGTTGCTAGGTGTTTGCTAGGGTGTTGCTAGGTGTTTGCTATGGCATTGCTAGGGTGTTACTAGGTGGTGGCTGTATTATTCCAGGTGGTTGCTATGGTGATGCTAGGAGGTTACTAAGGTGTAGCTAGGTGCTTGCTACAGTGTTGCTAGGTGGTTGCTGTAGTATTCCAGGTTGTTGTTACAGTGTTGCTAGGAGGTTGCTATGGTGTTTGCTAGGTGTTTGCTTTGGTGTTACTAGGTGGTTGCTGTATTATTCCAGGTGGTTGCTGTAGTGTTGCTAGGAGGTTGCTAAGGTGTTGCTAGGAGGTTGCTAAGGTGTTGCTAGGTGTTTGCTAGGGTGTTGCTACGGTATCCCAGGTGGTTGCTAGGGTGTTGCTAAGTGGCTGCTATGGTATCCCAGGTGGTTGCTAGATTGTTGCTGGGTGGTTGCTAGGGTATCCTAGATAGTAGCTAGGGTTTCCTAGGATGGTTCTAAGGCAGTTTCCATTGTATCCCAAGTAGTTGCCAGGGGGTTGCTGGGTGGTTGATATCTCACAGGGTTAACGAGTGTTTCTAATAGACTTGTATCACTGTGATATAAGCTGGATGCACAAACTTTCGGCCCCCTTTCATCACCGTGGGTAACAAATTCAGTCATTTAATGTAAGAGTATGAGGACCAGCTTTTTTACACAGAGATTTTCCTGCTGTGCCTATTTTAACGTGTGTGTAAAACTACATCTGGGTGTTTTTCACCCTGACCAAAGTCACACACCTTCTATGTAGACATCAGAGGACAGCCTGAATACTGAATGAATGCATTCTGTGGTACCTTTAATGTAAATGCGGGTGAAGGCCTTAAAGAGGAAGCAGCGTCCGACTGAGGAGACATTTCACACGTTCAGTCTGCAGAGTCTGCAAACAACAAGGCCTCTTGCTCGCGCTGCTGCCCACCAGTTAAGAAGTGACCGCAGAGAAAAGCTGGTTCCTCACTCAGCAGGTTCACAGTTACAGTCAGTACACAGACTGCAGGTAATCCGGATGATATAATCTGATCACAGAAATCAGGTACCTGTAAACAGAAAAGGATACCTGTGAAAATATCTGCACTCTTAAGTAAATAAAGATGGTTCTTCAAAGGTTCTTTAGTAAAGGCAGTGGTTCTATATAGAACCATGAACATTCAAAAACCCTTTGCATCATTAAATAGTTCTTCAGACTGATGGAGAATGTGTTGCATAAAGTTCTATATAGAACCTTTTTGAAAAGGATTCTACATAATACTAAAAGGGTTCTTCTGTTGTTACAGGCTTGACATCGTAACTGTAGAACACTTTTTGGTGCTATATAGAACTACTGTCTTTACTAAAAACCCTTGAAGAACCATAATTTAATTTAAGAGTCTGCTGTGCTGTCTTAATAATAATAATAATAATAATAATAATAATAATATATTTTAAATAATGCTTGGCTACACTGTAAATGAAGGTCCCCATTGCTGTACTCAGAGGTTAAATAAAGTTTTAAACAAAGGTTGATTGATTGATTGATTGATATTTCCATTATTTAACATTCAGTATAATCTAGGACAGTTTCTGTTTGACCTGAGGGCAGCAACAAAGCCTACAGGCCTTTCACACAAATCCTCATTTATGAAAAGTGCTTGAAATATGAATTTTCACAAAATCATTTTATGATCAAATTGCATGTTTTATAAACAATTTTTAAATTTTATGGACAAAAAAACTCATCAGAACAACTTTTACACATAAACGTTAACACTAATGAAGCCTTTGTGTCAGAGCTCAGTGCTGATCATGGAATTCCACTGATTTTTCTCCATAACTCAGTGTGTGAGGTGTAATCAGAGAGATTCAGAGTGGTTTGGTGTGAAATGGTTCAGATGTCTTTACAGTGGTGGTGATGGGAACCAGGGGTCGCCATGACTACAGCACAAATATAGACATTTTATTTACTATCCAGAACCACCAGTGAACCTACACGAGTCTTCTGAGTTTATATGGAATGTTGATGATGGAAAATAGTGGAAAATCTGAAATAATAAGTTTTCTTTGGGGACTATTTTTCCTCACAGCGCCCTGCATGTATCCCTCCACCATGAATGGAGTTTAAGTTCTCAAAACTACCATAAAACAGTGTCTCAGTCATCAGGCAGTGAATTCATAACCATGTCATGTAGGAACTTTCTGTGAGGAGCTTTTAGACGTGGACATCTGGTTCCTATCACCACCACTGTGAACAGTTCTGACTCAGTAAGTTTCTCTAGAAAAACCAAACCACTCTGAATGACTCAGTTTACATCGTAACCTCTTAATTTTGAGAAACTGGTGGAATTTCCCTAAATTTTCCCTTCCCTTTCCCCTAAGTGTTTAGAGCAGTGTGTGTGTCAGTGCTGAGCTCATTAAACACTTCTGAAGAGAAAGAGTGAGTTTTATTGAGTGCTGTTTAGTTCATCTTAACGGAGGCTGAATCATAACCTGATGAATTTTCTCAGAATCCATCCTCCCCTTCACACCATTCTGCGCTGTGCTGCTCTAAAGTGCTGGACAGTGTCCAGCGCAATCATTTTATACTTTATGAAGATGCCAATATGGAGCCAAGACATTAAAACAGAGTGTGTGCGGTGAGGAGCTACACGCTGCCGCAGCACAGAGGAAATAATTCAGCTCTTCTGTTTTCATCGGTTAACTCACCCTGATGACTAAAGCACTTTGGCAGCAGAGTAGAAGAGCTGGCTATGATCCAACCACCTCACAGCGCCCCCTAGAGTTAAGACCAGCCTCCACTGACATGAACAGAATAGCAGGAACAAAACTAACACGGGGGAAATGTGAGGCAGATAGTTAACCTAGTTGAACAGAACGTGCTTTTGATCATCTTCATGTTCTCATAGCAGCGTCATCTCTGAATTCACCATGTAGACTGTTTTTATACCATAAAAGCAACCTTTTCCATGTGTTTGTGATCAGTGATCTGTACAGAATTCACTCCTATATTATTTTAATATCTTGGTGTGTGTAATATAGCAGCATCTGGAAGCAGATAAACAGCTGACAGTGAAAGCCAGACAGGCTAAAGTACAGTTTTCCTTGCCGCTCATGGGGCTCGGACCTGGATTTTTCCGTAAAGCTGCTTTGTGACCACACCTGTTGTAAAAAAGCACTGTATAAACAAACTTTGACTTTAAAACACTGTTACAGCTAAAGCCCTATTTGAGCTGGATTAGTTTTAGCAGTGGAGGTCCGGTGATGTAGTTTGTGTGTGATTTGACCGGCCGATTCATATTCGGATGAAGGATTTGAGTAAATGTCCCCAAAATAACCCCAAATAGCCCAGATACAAACAACATCGCACAGACGTTTACATCAACATTATCTGACAGGCGCCACACTTCTGAACGGTGACAACACGCTGTGAGGCTAAAAGGCTAAACTGGCCTCGTTCACCAAACGTTCTTAAGAAGAAACTCCTTCTTAAACCCACTTACGCAGTTCTGAAGAAGACTCTGACTCACCAACGCTCTCTTATGTGGGATTTGTTCTTAGGTAAGTTCTGCGCTTTAAGAACACGGCATGAATCTGACGGAGACTTTTTCTTAGGACCTTTATCAAGAACACACTTAAGAACAAACTTAGGAGGATTTTTGATATTTCAAAAAGTTTCCATATAGAACCATTTCACCATGCAGAGAACCATTTAAGCATGCAGATGTTCTTTGAGTGTTCATGGCTCTATATAGAACCATAGTCTTTACTAAAGAAGCCATAAACCTTTTTTGAAAAGCGTTCTAAATAGCACCCAGAAGGGTTCTTCAATTATGACAAGTCTGACATCATAACAACAGAAGAACCCGTTTTGGTGAAAGGGTTCTATATAGAACCATCTACAGCACATTCTCCATCAATCTGAAGAAACTTTCATGATGCAAAGAACCCTTTAATCATGCAAAGGGTTCTTTGCATGTTCATGGTTCTATATAGCATACCATTGTCTTAAAGAACCCTTGAACCTTTTTGAAAAAGGTTCTATACAGCACCAAAAAGGGTGCTTCAATTATAACAAGTTTGCCATCATAATAATAGAAGAACTTATTTTGGTACTATATAGAACCCTTTTCAAAATAGTTCTATATAGATCCAACTACAGCACATTCTCCATCAGTCTGAAGAACCTTTCATGATGCACAGAAGCCTTTAATCATGCAAAGCGTTCTTTGCATGTTCATGGTTCTACAAAGAGCCATTGTCCTTACTTTTTAAAAAGGTGTTCTATATAGCACCCAAAAGGGTTCTTCTATTGTTGCAAGCTTGACATCATAACAACAGAAGAACGCTATATACAGAAATGGCACATTCTC